GTTTAACATTTTTTCCACTTTCCTTTTTGAAACAGCTTCTTATGTTCTGTCTTCTTCTGACAGCCAGCCAGAAACAAAGTGCGAATGAGTCAAGCGAAGGATGACATCGTGACCCATGTAATTGCCGGCTGCAAGGCGCTCTCGAATCGAGAATACAAGGAAAGGCCCAAAAACGTTGCAAGAATAGTCCAATGGCATTTTTGCGTTCGAGCTGAATAACAATGATAGAGCAATGATGGGGACATCAAGCGAAAGCGATGACAGACAATAAGCAAATGAAAATACTCTGGGACTTCCCACTACGAACTGAGAAAGAAATATCAGCTCATCTTCAGAATATCGTGTTGGCAAATAAAGCGAAAAGATGGATTCAAGTAACAGATAATATGACTGGTTGACGTTGTGGATAGCGAAAAGATATACTGAAATATCAAGAATTGAGGAACGGAATACAAACGATCTTGACGGTAAGAGCAGAAGTCATGTCTATAGTGATTATTGCCACAGGAGGAGTGAATAGAGACCAGCGCCTACTAAAATCAGTTGAAAAAGTGATCAGAGGGGATCAGTTGTAGAAGGCGACCCTGGTAGGAACAGCCAAATTAGTATGAAGGGTGATATAGCACTCTAAGCCTAGGTAGAGGGTTGGAGTTGAAGTGATGTTCATACATTCATGTTATATTATATGACGGCTGATTGAAACAGTAAAATGTAATCGCGATATTTTTAGGTTATGCATTGCAGACAGTTGTCGGCTGTTCTTCGCAAGCGAGGCAGTAGCGTGACGATCAACAGCTGTCACCCCGGCATCTGTTACACGCATCTGATGCGTCACACACCTTTGGAGACGAACGTAATTTTGCGTAACATATGTCTACCGTTCATCTGGTTCTTCCTGAAAACTCCGAAAGACGGCGCACAGACTCCTTTGTATTGTGTTTTGTCCAAATCGTTGAATGGTGTTTCTGGTAGGTATTTCTCTGAGTTGCAGCAGTGTGAGCCATCGCCGATTGCTTGTGACAGCGACCAGTGCGAGTCGCTGTACAACTATAGTGTTGAAGCTTGCAAATTGGTTTTTTAACTTTTGCCAGTTAACTTAACTTTGTTTTTGCCAGTGCTTTTTGTACCGCAGCTTTGAAATTAAGGATTATGGGAATAGACTGTCTTCGAAATAAGTGGCTTGTCAGTCGAGAATCGTGTAATGACAAAAAACGTAATTTGGCTTCCTTTAATTTCTGCGTTTTATTTTACCGTTGCTTTTGTTTCTATTTATGCTTTTTATGAGTAACATATATCAGAAATTCATAATTTAATGCTTCACTGAAAAGTATGGATTAAACTTAATTTTTTTCAAATAAATGTTTTATATTTTGGAACGTCGTTTTATGCGCAAAATATGCTAAACATGGAAGGGGGCTCAAAGTTAATTGCAAACATGAAATTTATAAATGCACGTCGAATAGGAAACGAGCGATTCTAAGACGATTTACTTGGTTCCCGCATCTTGACGGTCGAAGGTGTTCAAAAGTGCAATTTTCAGAAGGCTAAAGAGCTACCAATTGCTTGGGGATGACCAAGAATCACATGGTGTAAGTATCTCAGCAGACTCGGGTTATCTTCATTCTATCCCGAAACGCTGGCGCGAAATTAGGAACGTTAATGACACTTTCTGACGAGTCTGCCTTCTTGGTCCAAAAGGACAATATGTCACAGAAATTGACTGATATAGAGTAGTATGACCGATGATGTAGTAGGTATGATATTGATAGCTGTCATTGTATTACTGTTCTGGAATAAAGTGTTAAACACATGCAAATGTATATTGGATACGTATCTGTCTTTTTAAAGTGCCGACGATTTGGCAGTCTAACATTATTTGAACGAGCGCATGCGTATCATCATCGATCGACTTCGGAAATCAGAAGGATACAGTACAGTACCTGTCGGTTCTGACTGATTCAGCAACCCAGTTTGAATATCTAGCTGCGCAAGAATCATTGATAGCCGTTAACGAAGCTGGGAACGATCAGCTAGCGAGGCATTTGCGCTATTTTGAAGCTGAAAGGTTTTCGTTCGTTTTTCTGTTTATGTTTGTACAGGCCAATCAGCCTTTGAAAAATTTCTTAAAGACTGCCCTTTCACCGCTCTGCTTACTTTTGGGTGCAAGCGGGCTCCGAAAATGGATTCATCTTTCTACATATATCACATAAATAAATGTCATCTTCATTTCAGGTGGATAAATGCATGTGTGTACACGTTGTTGTGTCGAAAAACACATACCTTTATCCAAATTGCACGAAGAAGCCATTTCTTATTTATTTTTGCAATTTATTAGGCAGCATCAGATCGTTGCTAAATCATAGTCTCTTGTTCGGAGGTGCAGACGATATGATTAAGTGATTTCACCTCGCTTTCGTTAGTGGTTATTAGGCACATTGATATTCGCA